TGTTGTTTTTGTAGGAAGCTGCCATTTTGGGAAAGAGAGTCCTGGTCCTGGACTTTGTGGTCCCTTCTCCTCAGGGCACATCCTGGGGTAAGCCGTGCGTGATCTGATCTTTCCGTGCATCGTTTATGCGTGTGACGCCTCTTAGTCCCACAGGAAGCTCAAGAGCTGAAGTGTAGTCCCTTCCAGAATCGAGGAGGCCACGTCTCAGGTCATCGGTCATCGGTGGTGACAGTGCCAAGATAAATGGAGGGACAAATTGAAAAAAATTTGCAAATTGAAAAACATTCTGTGACCGGAGGGTCCTCCCCCTTTGATGTGTACACAGTGACCACAGTGTGTGACCTATGTCCTGGTCGCCTGAGTTGCCATAGACATTTTTGTGGGTGTTTCTGCACCAATGTCATAATTGAGTCGAGTGGCCACACAATAAGTCAGTGGCATTAGGATCCATGGTCATCACAGCTTCGTTAAGTAAGGGACACGATACGGTCCCCACCCCAGGACGGGTGCTGTAGGCAGAATGTCACCTGGCCAGTGTCAAACAGAGCACACAGGCCTTGTGCTGGGTGTCCTCCTTCCGTCTCTGCCCTGCTCTGTGCCAGTTGGTGGCCTGGCCCTCTGGCTTCTGGTGAGGGACAGCAGAGCAGAGTGGACTGGGGTCCTCATGGCTCTGGCTCCTCCATGCCAGTCCCTGGGCTGCCTTCCTTCTTCCCGGAAGGCCACCTCTGTCAGGTGGGTGACACCCTCTGGGTCAGGCCCTCACTCGGCCTCCTGCCCTGCACACGGACTGCTTTCCTGGTTAGGGTGCCGTGCCGTTCCTTCATGGTCTTCCAGCCCACATCTCGTAATAACTTCTTTACGAACATTCTAGAATTTTCTAGAACCCTGATGCTAAAATGCAAAAGTCACTTTTAACATTCAAGCTGGCTCTGAACCTTTCAGCCTACAGTTTCATATAGTGAAACAAGGAAGGGAGCTTGTTTTTCCTTCTGATATTCTTGTGGTGTGCGTGCAGTTGTGTCTTTCCCTCTCTCTCTCTGTCTCTCTCTGTCTCTCTCTCTCTCTCTCTCTCTCTCTCTGCCTTCTCTTGTTTCTGTTCAGTTCTGTGAGTTTTATTAACACAGTGCCCGTGTTTGAAGTCACACACACAGTCACACACTCACACACACACACTCACACACTGTTCCTTTCTTTCCCAGGCCTTGGAGGCACTTGTGTGAATGTTGGCTGTATTCCTAAGAAACTGATGCACCAGGCTGCCCTTCTAGGGCAGGCCTTGCAGGACTCAAGGAAATTTGGCTGGGAGTATAACCAACAGGGTGAGTAACGATTTATGAAATGTAGATGGGGAGGAAAAAAAATGTAGGTTTCTTAGATATGTGCTATTTTTATAGTTGAGCCTGAAGATCATTTGATAAGCATTAATTAGAAGCCACACGCCTGTCATCTCAGCAGCTCAGGAGGCTGAGGCAGGAGGATCGCAAGGTGGAGGCCAGCCTCAGCCACTTAGTGAGGCCCTGAGCAACTTGGTGAGACCCTGACTCTAAATAAAAATTTTAAAAGGGCTGGGGATGGGGCTCAGGGGTGAAGCACCCCTGGGTTCAGTCTCTGGTACAAAACAACAACGACAAAAAGCCACTGTGTACGAGGCAGATACAGAGACTATAGAGACGGCTCCACTCTTGTCATCCTCCTGCCTAGGGAGGGAGCTGTTTCAGCTCTGGCCATTCCAGGCCCTTAGCCAAATGGGAAGATTAATGATCACTGTTTCCAGAATTTGTTCAAGCATGAGGAAATTAGAATAGTATCAGTAGTTGTTTGAGTTTGATCTATTACTCTGATACCATTTTCTGTTTTATCGGTTGTTATGTTGTCTTTTGGTTAATGAAAGGTGAGGAACAAATTCATCCATAACCACTTGTTGGCTGGGCAGACAGGAGGACAAAGGAGTTGCTGCACGGCATTCTGTTGGGTGAGGTGGCCCAGGAGATCCGTTGTGTGCAGTCGAATTGGCTGGGCTGGTGTGCACATTGACTTGAGGGGCACCTAATGCAGCTTTGAGGTCGGGGAGAGTTTAGACGCTCTTCTGGGACAAGGTGACCCTTGATCCACAGAGAAAAGGAACATGAAGGACAGCAGCAGCTTGACCAAAACTATGAGGATGTGCTAAGACACAGCGCAGACAAAACATGGATCAGGAGCAGGTGGGGTAAAGAACAGGCACGTGATGTTGGCAGAACTCAGATGAGAGAGGTCAGCATGTCGCAGGCCCTGCAGTGCTGTCATAAGGAGTTGATTTTACCCACAGTTAATGCAGCCATTGGGGACTTCATTCAGCAGGAGAGGAGCGTGCACTACAGTTTCGACGCTCAATCCCTCTGATGTCACCAAGGGAAAAAAGAAATTGGGTAGGGAGGCAAGAAATGGCAGAGACCTGAGCTAAGACTGAAGTCTGGCTGGAGTGCAGGGGTGGGTTTAGAGATGTTGAGCCCGTGGGGCTGACTACATGGTGACCAGCTGACTGTGTGCTGTGCTCTCCTTCATGGCTGAGCGTCAGAAGATCTGGTGGAGTTTCTAAAAAGATAAAAATGACTTGTCTTTATCCTGAGAGATTCTGATCCAGTTGATGTGGGCATATGCCTACATTTTTTTTTTTTTTTATATACTGGAGACTGAACTCAGGGGCACTTAACCACTGGGCCCTATGCCCAGTCCTTTTTCATATTTTATTTAGAGACAGGGTCTCTGAATTGCTTAGGGTCTCACTAAGTTGCTGAGGCTGGCCTCCAACTCGCAATCCTCCTGCCTCAGCCTCCCCAGCTGCTGGGATGACAGGCGTGAACCACCACACCTGCTCCCTCAATTTTCTTTTTGGAACTCTGCTTCTTGCATGTGCTTTGTAACATAAGATAGGAAGAGATATGGAAGTTGCCAATTGTCTTCTGTCAACGTTTGATTTTTAAAGCAGTAGCTAGTAGTTCTCGCATGGCTGTATATAACTTACTATTAAGCGTCAAGGTCACTTTGGGCCTTCACCTGGTCGTTTCAGTGAAGCACAACTGGAGCACCCTGACAGAGGCCATTCAGAACCACATCGGCTCTCTCAACTGGAGCTACAGGTTGTCGCTGAGGGAGAAGGGAGTGACCTATGTCAACGCCTACGGGGAATTTGTGGACCATCACAAAATCAAGGTACTTTCTGAATTTCTTGCCCTTCTCTTGGCCTCTCCTTAGTCCTGCTCACACTTGCCTTAAACTCACACAGAGGCCTGTTCTTGGCTGTGTCTGTCGGCTACGTGTCTGCGCAAATTGAAAGAAATTGCTTTTCCAAGAACTCTTCATTTAAAGTCACCATTTGCCTTTGACTCTATCGACATCTTAACAGAAAGTGCTCAGACCAGAGAGTTCAAAGTTCAAAAGACTGGAAAGATCAACATTTTAGCAGTGGAATCCTTTCTAAAAGTGAAACCTTCCCTAAAAGTCTCTATATATTATTATAAAAGCATTGGTAAAAGCAATATCATTTAAAATGCAATAATATATATTATACACATATATTAATATAATGTCTCTCTATATGACATTATTATGTGTAACGTGTGTCATTATATTTAATATAGTGTGTAACATTATTTTATATTTTTATATGTGTAATGTGTGCACACTCTGAGACCAGTGCACAAGGAAAACGAGATCATTTTGATGAACATAGAAGTTTTCACTAGAGTTGGGATCAATAGCCAGGTATCACCTGGAGGACAAGTGGACATAGGGCCTGGGGTGTCACAGGTCACAGTCCACAGATGGTTTCACCTCACCACTGCACCCCCAGCCCCTGCCGTCCCCCTCCTCTCACTCTGGCCACTTGCTGTCCCCCAGGCCCCAGACCTTGCAGGCCTGCGTGCTGTCCTGGTC